ACAGCATTTTGGTGCTGGGGGTGTGTCCGCACCTTAAGGGGCTGTATATGTAGACACATGCACTCGTCATCTTAAAACTAGGTCACACAGCCCCCAGCAGCTTTATGCTAATCTGTCAGATAAGCATGGCTGGGGGTCTGCACCCGTTACCTGGGTCTGGCTGGTGTAGTGAAAGGAATGCAGAGTGAGGTGGGAGGAGTTTGATGAAGAGTAAATTGGATCACGTGCTAAAAAGATGTGTGGACGTGTCTTGCCTATTACTCCAAGCAGGACATAACTGGGTCGTGTTGTGTACGCAGTGCACACATACCCACATAAATTCAATTGGCTGCGGGCGCGAGAGTAGAGGAAACCGTGGGGAACTCTATAAGTCATCTCACCTCAGTGAGGGCAGACTAACTGACGCGCCGTCATCCCAAAACTTACCCCCACCCTCCTTCCTCCACTTTGTTCTCAATAAAGTGTCAGGTAGGTGTGCGAGTCGGCCAGCCAGGCGCTCAGTCGTCCTGAACCTCTCTCTCCCACGCTCCATCTCCTCTTTAGTGTGCCATATATCTGTCAGAAACTGGTCTCCGGCCATTACAGAAAAGACGTGACTGCTTCAGAGGAAAGGGAGGAAGAGAAAGTGTAGATCTAGGCAGTTACATGATGAATTTGAGGGAGGCGGAAAGCTGAAGAATATGAGCAAAGAGTTCCACTGTTCACCTCCACAACTGAAACGGTTCCAGATAATGAGCTTGGTTTAATTATTAATCCTGACTGTTCAGGGTCTTCATGTGTGATGGATGACATGCAGACTGCTTTAACAACACACACACATAAAGACTTTGGTTTCAATGTTCATCGTTATATAGACTTGAAAGGACGTATGATGTAAATGTTTTGTAAATTATATATATATATATATAGTGGATGAACACTATATGAACTTCATGAATGAGGCCACTTCAGAGAAATGTTTTACTGGCATTGTACACATTATTAATAATGGTGATATAAGCCAGTGCGTCCCATTTAAATGTGATGTTACCTTTGTCTTCAATGACATATCAGTGTCCATAACAGAAAGAAAAGTTGTATTGAGCTACCTGTAAGCTCTTCATTAATGCCGACACTCATTTTGATCTCAGTTGAGCAGAACTAGAAGTTGTTGTTTTTTTGTTTTTTTTTAACCACAACTTCAACCAGTTAGCAGTGTTGTTAGTCTGTCGCACCGGTTGATGGATTATAGTGTGCTCGGGACCACATGTCGCCCGGGGCAACCCTTTACCATAGAGACCAGCTTGTGTCAGCAGCGATTGGCTGGTTTTCAGGTAGTGTGTAGCATCGTCGCAGCGTCGCCTCTCTCAGGAGAGCAATGCAACTCCTTGTGGCGGCATCAATCTCGTTACTGCAAGCAGTCATGTTTCACTTTTGACATAATGAAAGTGCCGCACTTGCACTTTGCACTCGGCATCTAATGACTCCTTCTTTTTTTTCCTGGTACTGATGATGTAGGCAGGTTCAGTAACTTCAGAGGTACAGCAGTAGTGAAAACAAGCGTAATATATAGATGCTAGTTGAATTAAATGTACAGTAAATATACTTATTTCCACAGAAAGCTAACATGTTATTGCTTGAGTAATCCTAGTCTAACTCAAGATGTTATTTTGACTCATTTAGAGTAATGTGCACCTGTCTCCTAGTTTTGGGGATCTCTTATCTTGCAGTAGAACATGTGCTGAAATGACACTGTAAAAGTGTGATTTTCTTTACAGCTGCTCACATTGTTTAACTGTCTTTTATACTAAACTGCAACATTTAAAAAGGCAGCAGCACAGGCAGCAAGTCTAGATGCACATGGTGCATGTAATGTGTGCATCTGTGACTATACACTCCCAGCAGAGTGACAGGAGCTGGTTGCTATGGAAACTACCTATATGCGGGGGTTGTGCTGATGAGCAAGTGATATGAGGGTAGACTGATTGATAGGTGCTGTCAGGTCCAAGCGGAAAGTACATCCATCTCTGGAGGTTCCTCGTGTGTGTGTGTGTGTGTGTGTGTGTGTGATCTCTGTGTCCTCTGTTTATGAGAGCAGAGTTCACAAAGTGCGGGATGAACTACCAGCTGCTGTATTAGTCTTTAGTTTCTAACCTTGTAAGCTGTGATCAGCTAAAGGGTGAAACTGCCTTTGCACACAGAGGGGTAGTGAGCTGTTGGAGGGTTGTGATGTGATTGTCCTGCCAAGTGTTTCTCTAGCTGCTGTGAAGCATTATCAGCCGCGCGGTCTCAGTGCACACGTCACTGCGCGTTGTCTGAGCTCATTCAACATGTCTTTCCGATTTGGGCACTTACCATGTTGATGCGACTACAAATGAATCCACACTCTGCCACATGTCCCTGTGGTGCTCTTACAAAGGCTTTTCATTAAGCTCGTGGAGAGTCAAATAAATCCACATAGCGATACTCTATTCTCTGCACCCTGTCAGCTGTTGTTCACTGGTGGGTTTCATTATTTCCCCTCACTGCTGTTTCAAAGGTCACTTTCCAGACCACAGCGGAGGAATTTGGGGAGAAAAGATCACTATTAATTGCAAATAACATTGCAGAGAAAAACACAGGAGTTTTATGAATAGATAAATCACTAGAAGGTTCATCATCATCTATCCTAGCAGAGACATTTAGTAAAGATCTCTGCTTTTAATTAGCATCTTGATGTAAGCTCAGTCGATGTTTATCTGATTCTTGTCCAGCCCTCACTTCAGACAAGCTCCTGCTTCCTTTTTAGCCGTGTTTGTGTGTTCACCGTTCAGTGGTCATGTAGCCACAGGGGCAGCACTTCATGCCCAGAGGAACGCCGGAGGTGTCTCGACGGGTCGAGTCTGCCCTGGTTCCACGAACACACTTCAGACCAGACGTCACGTATTTGCAACATATTTGTTTGGTGGGGGGGCTCTCGGTTTGTGGTAATCTGGTGGACTTTTAATAGACTGTGGAGAGAAACGGCCCAATCAGTCACAGAGGAGGCTTGTCTGGCTTGGTGTGCTGTTCTGTGTATATGTGTGTGTGTGTGTGTGTGTGTGTGTATTTTAAACAACCCCTTCATCTGTTGTAGCAACTGTATTTTTATTGTGCAAAATATGAAGCGAATCCATTAAAAAGTCATGCAGTATTAAAATGAGATTAAAAAGACTCAATAGCACACGGGACACGCACCATTGAGGAGGAGACTGAACACAGATGCAAAATCTCACTCCTAACCTTGATGCTATGACTTATTGATACGAGCGTTTCAAGGCCTTTGCCCAGAAGAAAACTTTGTTAAAACATTGGTTCTATCAATAAATTATAGCGTCAAGGCCGTAAGTGTGTGTGTGTGTGTGATTGCTGTCTTTTGAAAATCTATGTTACCGTGTGTTCCGGCTAGTTCATGGTGACGACAACAAATTCCTCTTTTCAGTCTTTGCCCTGTCAGTTTGTGTGTATTATGTTGGTATGCGTGTGTAAATGCCCCTGCTCATGTCCTTCACACAGTGTGTAAGTGGACTCTGAGCAGCAGGAAGGCGGCTCCAGCAGATGGTGCTTCCAGGTGGAGCAGCTTGACATCCATAAAGGGGCAGCAGTTAAGAGTCTGTCTGTCTGACATGCATAGACAGCACTTACCTACTAAAATTGGGTGGGAGGGAAGTTGTCACGTTCCACTGGCACACATTGACACCAGTGATGACATGTGTGTGTGTAGTGTGAATATTTTAATATTGTTAGCTGCTGCTGCTGCAGCTGCTTCTCTTCCCACTTGCCATTAACGTGCAGGTGATAGCAGTGTAATTAGAGAAGCGGTGAATTAAATCTACAGTTGAAAAAGGAAATTGGACACACTCTGCTTTCATTTGAACCACCTTTTGGTTTATGAGGTCACTGACATTCAGCCACAGTAACTATAAGCATTAACTGTCCCTGTGTAAAAACTAAAAAAGTCTCCACCATGTTTATTTCATCGCCTACATCATCAGAGTGTTTTCATGCTGCCAGAATAATCATGGATGGGGATCAAGCGTCCTCACTCTGTTTCCGTTGATGTGAATACAAATGGAAGTTACCTGTTCTGCTGTTTTTTTTTGTTTTTGTTTTTTTTTTTTCCCCCCATTGAGTAAAGGGGGAATTGATTCCAGGGTCTATGCAAGTGACTGACTTGGGTGCACAGGAGAAATCGTATTTTCTGTTCTATCAATATATTGATATATTTCCCACAGTGTATGAATTGATCTATTGTGCTTCATGAAGCTCCTCGGTGTCCAATTGGGAATGTCGGGATTATTATCCATAGTGGGATACACACGTCTGCCTCTACTTATACCTGTCAGTTGTGCTTCTCACGCTGTGTGCTCATTTCTTTTCTACTCTTCTCAAAAAAAACAAACTCCGCAGTCTCTGGCTGTGTGACCTTGTACGAATAGAAGTGAATTACTTGTCCTATCACTGCTTTAACACTGGTTTGTATTATAACATATTATCAGACAGTGTCATTTATTCACTTAATACCCAAGCAGTGTACCTTCACTTTATAATGGATAGACGTCACTTCAGTGGTCCCCAAGTGATGCCACTTGAGTCAGGATTGTTGAGGGTTCGGAAAGAAAAGTTAGGTCACAATAGCTGCTTCTAGCATCAAATAGCCAAATGTCAGTGATCGAGTGGCATTGTGGGTAATGTATCTTTTTTTTTTTTGTAATGTGAATGCAAAGCTAAATCAGGGGAGCGTTCATTTTAAAAGGTTTTTCAAAGGTAAGTAAATGAGAGGATTACTTGGCCCTTGTTCAACCAGCTACGTGTTCTTTTCACAATTTGCAAACACGACTCTCCTTATACATGAGTAGGAGAGGATAATCTGAGAAGAGGGGCATGTACTCTGGTGTAAAACTCAGCTCTAAGTACAAACAAACAAACTCGGATCCAAAGGACCTATGACACGCTTGCAAGCTTCTACTCACCTTCCCTCTCTCCTCTGTCGCCCCTCACAGCGGAGCCCCTGCCGCTCATGGACCTGTGCAGACGAGTAGCTCGACTGGCCCTGGGCAGAGAGCGCATCCATCACATCGACACACTGCCACTGCCACAGACTCTCAAGAACTACCTCCAGTACCAGTGACCGCACACACACACATTCGCACGCACATACACACACACAGATATGGGAAGAAGCTGAAGCCCACTTGTTCTTATTGTAACCAGCCTCCAAACTGAACTTAATCATAACCATCAGACATCTGCTGAGGATGGTGGACTACGACATCGACCACGAAAGGTGGTGAAGACGCCGCTGCGAGGGTTTTTTGTTTACACCAGTTGGGGATTTCCCATTTTGGATGTTTTTTTTTTTTTATCTGGTTTTCAGCTTTTTGTTTGTTTGTTTTCCTTTTTGTTGCTGACTGCTGTTTCTCTCCTGGGCAGATGACCGAAATGAAAAGTGTGAGAGATTAAAAGAGAATATTGCAATCCAGTTTCCTGCTAATCATATATACACATATATATATATATATATATGTATATATGTGTGTGTGTATACATGTCCTCTGTCAGAAATGCCTTCAATGCTGTGGGTTTTTGGCGACAGTTTACCCAACACACTCTGTGGAAGCTTCCTCGGAAACATGTTGGTATGTATATTTATATTCCCAGCAACACAGCAGGCTCTGTGGAGACACAACAATCCCTTCAAGCCACAGGAGAGAGAGGGTGAGAGACAGAGAGAAAGAGAGAGCAAGCACGAGAGAGAGAGAGGGAGAAAGTCGACACACAGATCTGTTTTTGTTAGTGTGTACACAGTGTAGTACACATGGACTACATGTGTACAGTGAATGTGTGACTGTATAGAAACAAAGCCCACACTGTTTGTACTAAAAAGACAAGTCACTGACAAATGCGCAGTCCCCATCTCAAGACTCAAAAACACAATTCTAGTCTGATTTGAGCATTTTGAACCCCCCCTCCCCTCCTCTCCTCCCACCCCCTCCCCCCCTCTCTCTCTCTCTCTCTCTCTCTCTCTCTCTCTCTCTCTCTCTCTCTCTCATCTCGTTCTGTGTCTCCCGGTCACCCACTCCAGTTTGATTTAAGCCTCCATCTTGTTTGGTGAACCCGAAGGACCTTGCCCGCTGTTGTCGGCTCTTTAGCTCCTGTAACGCTGATAGAGATTGATCTGAAGGTGTAGCTTTGTCTTTGACTGCTAATGTGCCTGCTCTGAGACAGCACACACATACAAACAAAGCACATTACCCCTCCCACCTTAAAAAAAAAAAAACAAAAAACAAAAAACAAAAAAAGAAAGTTTTAAATGCTGCTTTTTCTTTTTCTGTTCTGCCGTTTTACCCTCGTGGGTTTTTATCCTGGATTTACTTTTGAAAATTATTGTCTTAAAATTAGATTTTTTTTTTTTTTTTTTTTTTAGGTTTTCTTTTTTTTCTGTGGGACTGGACGTCTCGCTCCTATGGTGGAAGAATGTGCTGCCATTAGACTCTTTTAAATGTGAATAAGAATAAACTCAGCTAAACTCGCAAATTCTCTCACGTGTGCTCTTTGATTATCATCAATTACAGGACCATAGATGTGCTGTGTTTTATTGATCATTCACTAAACAGGGATTGTCCAGCTTATCAACCCCGACCACAGCAGAATGTTGAGCTCTGAATTTTTCTTACCAAATTACATTAGACTGTATTTACTATATAAAAAGTTTTGAGGGTGGTCTCCAAATTCTAAACGAGCAAAACTGCAAGGAATTGATTAAACAGTGCGTTTATCTGCTCTAATATAAGCTGCAAACATTAGCAGGCCCAGCTAACTAGCTCACTATCCACAGTAGAAATGTGTCACCCTAACCCTAACCCGTGGCTGGCGACCTTTTTTTCTTTTAGACATTCTGGTCTAGTTTTAGTTTTTAATCATTTTAAATGCTCCCAGGTTTGAGCCTCTGATGTTTTTAATCCATAACACAACTCCTGTATTGTCTTCTACTGTCCCCCTAAAGGACAATAGTAACTTCTTCAACTTTTTCAGATTTTTTGGTGGCGTGGTTTTAAAATATAATAATAAGTTTCCATGTAGATGACAATACAAACGTGTCCACATCTGCTTTTAATTTTATTCAACATACTCATACCTGAAATCTTATCCTTGACCTGCTCTGGTCTTCACAGTGGGTGTTTCGTTACACTCTCCAGACTTCATCTCTGATCATAAATGTGTTTACTTAGAAATGTGTTTACTTAGAACCCTTTAACCTAGAAGTGTACTGTGCTCGACATCTGCTGCTTTCTTTTCAAATGCACATTCTGGTGTAGTCCAGGGGATATTTCAGCCTTCCCAGGTTGGTGATTTGGTAATCTGTTATAATAATGCTAGCCAGGGTCCTTTTAAATATTTCAGTACCTCTATAGCACGGATCAACTGTGCCTGAAGTCACCTCTATTCAACCTATTCTGGAAAAAACACATCTTGATTCTGCTGCAGCCCAGAGCCATAGACCAATCTCAAAGTTGCTTTTTGTCTTCAAGATCTTAGAAAAGGTTTTCTGTAAGCAACGTGTGGTTTTTGTAGATGAAAACAATTTATATGACAAACTCCAGCCTGGCTTCCATCAAAGCCCCAGCACAGAGACAGCTGTAATCAGATCATGGTGCAAACTACATTTTGGTTCTTGATTTAAACACTGCTTTTGAAATCATAGATAATAACATTTTACTAGATCTTCTAAAGAAGTGGGTCGGGGCATCTGGCACAGCACTTCATGGTTCTGCTGTTTCATCAGAACTTCTCTCTGTCTGATTCTGCGCCTCTAACATGTGGAGTTCCTCTCGGATCTGTTCTGGGGCCTGTTTTATTCTCTCTGTACATGCTTCCTTTAGGGCGTATCATTCATCAGTTTTCTATGCTGATGTCCAGTTGTATGCATTTGTGAAATCTGTCTATTTTACAAGATTGTCTAATGCGATAAGGTGGTATATGTACCAGAATTTCCTGCTGTTAAACCATAACTAAACTCAAGAGTTCTGGTCCTTCCACCAAATCAGTCCTTGGACAGTTTTCAACACCACTTAGCCTCCTTGGCTTCGAACCACAGACTGTAAATAAAGATGGATATAGCCTCTGTGATGTCACCCACAGGTTTCTGAAGAGCAGTTCAGCTGAAGAGAGTCAGCTGTTTCACCATCGCCATCTTGGCAGTGCCTGACTCCGTCCAGCTCCAGGCTAATCCAAAAATGTGGCTTGTGTGGAGCCGAGACTTTGGTGCATGCCGGTTTGTGGCAAGCATACGCTCACCAACTTGTCACAGGTACAGTTGTCACGGAGCAGGTAATTAGCTAAAGAGACCAAAACTGTTTTTTTGTACCAGGCTGCAAACATGTTTATTTCTGCTGTAAAGTTGAGCATTTTAACATGGAAGTCTATGGGGATTGACTAGCTTTTGGAGCCAGACTCAAGTGGCCATTAGAAGAACTAAAGTTTTTGGTACTTAGGTGTTGGCCTCATTTTTCAGCCCTGTGGTTACCACTTGCTTTGAGCTCAACGCTGGTCATTTTGATTCCCAGGTAAAACTTTTAGAAACATCTTAAGCCAGTTGAATGCATGTTATTTTAACGTCGTAAACACAAATGACTCCTTCTGTGATAGAAAAATCCTGTGTTGCTGTCAAAGCCTCCAGATGCTGGTTGTGCTGTGGTGTCAAGATGAGCCAGCACCAGACTGGATTCCCCATCCCAGGACAGGCTTTGAACACAGAACAAAGCCTGTTGTGTGATCAAAGTTCAGCTCAGCGTGGCTTTCCCTGGCACTGCCAACAGAAAACCCATTAATGTTCTGCAGCCGAGAGCGGCCCGTGTTGATAATATCATAATCGCACTGAGAAGCATAGCTCCCACTGCTTTTAGCCGCGTCTGAGAGGGGAGATGACCTGCACTCACGCAGGAGAATTGATGGACACTGACATTTAATACTTTAATCATGATGATGGTAATGTGTCTGTTGACTTTAATAATGATATCTGGCTGAACACCGTGCCACAGTGCATGTGTTCGTTAACAATCTGACATCAGAATAAACGCAAAAACAAAATAGTGAAATGCAAGTCACTCCAGAAAGAGTCTGCAATTGATCCCCAGCTGTCGCTTATGTCTGCCATACAGCAACGTAGTGCTCTTCAATAATGCAGGGACCAGCCCTTTCAATGATTATTGAACAAGCCTGAGAGTTAAAGCTAATGACTTGTTTGATCTGGTTAAAAGTGACTTGGCATTGCTAGATCCATATTTAGCTTCCTGTTGACAGTGAGGCTTCACTTCAATTCATCTCGCTGTCTTTTCCTCTGCCTCCTCCACATTCTGTCGACTTCCTCTCCTGTCTCCATTTTACTCTGCTCAGCTCAGGCTATTTAAATCCTCCCCTCGCTGTTTTCCATCTCAGAGCTTTAACTTCTGCCTCACCTGCTTTAACTGAAGGTAAGTTAAGCTATGAGGAACTGTTTGCGATAAAGTAATTGCTACTGTGTGCCTTCCTCTTCCCTTTTCCTCTTGAAAGTTGCTTCCCTTTTCCTCCTCCATGTGTAAATGTTATACATATGCATATATGGACGGCAGCAGCAGGGTGAACTGAGGAAGAGATGGATGGTTGGAGCCCGGTTGTCTGCTACAGAGATGAGCAGAGATCCATAATTTATGGAGGAAAAATCCTGCGCCCGCTTTGCTTGGTAAGTCATGTAAAAGCTAACATTTAATATTTCTCCTCACTCTTGGGTCTCTCCTCCAGATCACACGCAGAGATATCTTCAGAGGACAAAATTCCTCAAAGTGAAGGATGTTTCTTTGACCTACTTGGAGGATTTTTTTTTTTTTTACAGTCACAGATGATAAGGATGCGACTGCACTGCATTTATGTCCAATCTGTGTTCAGCAGCACCAACATCAAAGAGACATTATCCCTCCCTGTCTTGTTGACTTTTGGGTTCAAGTTTTCGATTCATCGTAAAGTTCAGAGTTTCAGAAGAAATTTTTTTTTTTTTTTGTGTGCAGTGTCAAAATCTTGACAAAGAGAAAATTGGTAGAAATTAAAGCCACTGTGGTTGAGATTTATTACTTTCTAACTTTGGTGCTGTTTGCTGGTGGCATCAGACAGACACTGTGACAGACAGCTATCCCAATCTGCCCACGCCCACAGATCTGTCCAGCACAGAACTGGCAACACACAGATTGCACCAAAGTTCACCGGGAGTCTTGTATTTTTTACTCAGTTAGCTTCAGGCCATCTGATGACTGATCAGTAGTCGGGGATAATGAAGAAACTGTCTTTGACGACATGGTTTGTACATAACCAGCATTAGCATCAACAGCTGTTAACCTACCGGTCTAGAAGAAATGTTGTGAGTTCACCATCAAATTGTATTCCTTTACTCAACAAGAGCTATCTCCAGTGGTGGAAAGCAATACCAGTGTTAACTCTTATCTATTACGTTTTTTTCTTTTACTGAAGTGAGCACGCTAACCCGCTAGCCCTGGCCCGTCCTGTCACTTTCCGATACCGAGTCACTGTAGCCTCCAATCTGCCCTGAAGATGTAGCGTTGCTCTGAGGTGGTATTACAACCTCTTGTATTATAAAAACAACAGTGGCTGAAGCTCTTGTCAAGTAACAATCACTACCACCTGCTCCCGGCAAGAAAACCAGGCTCAGCAGCAGACAATACTTACAATTAACCTCTTTAATAGATAAGACCTTTCTCAGTCAAGGTAATTTGTATGTTTTGTTACCTTACACCTGCCTGACAAAGTGTTTTCCATCTTAAAATCACTAAGAAGATTGCTGATCATGTGGTGCAAGCAACACTTTATTCTTTAGCTTTTATTCAGTGACTGTAGAGACAAACAAGAAACATGGGGAGAG